AAAAAAAAAACATAAAATATGTTTTATTTATACTGTTTTCATATCATTCCATCCAACCATTCTTCTAACAGACAGCAGACTCTTCTACGTTGGTCCCAGACGGCAGTTCATGCGGCTTGTGGTACTTTCTGAGAAAGAAAGAACATCTGTCTTGATGGAGTGCCACAATAATCCTGGTACTGGCAACCACAATGGCAGGAGGGCCACTCGAGACAGGGTTATTGCTGGGTATTATTGGCTCACCATCACAAAGGATGTTGATGAATGGGTAATGTAAAACAAATTAATTATGGCTCATACCTTCCATCACCTTTAATTTTGAAGACTTTTAGCATAAAGAATGTAATACACAATTAGTAGAAGCTATAGGTTGTCTTTAGCTGATTTTGTTGTTTATCAGCCTGAATCAACTACACAAACAAATTTTCCTTTCAGGTCAAGCGTTGTCACCGCTGCCAAATAAATGATCCAATGAAAACTGTAGCACCGGTTCTACATTCAATCAAGGTTCTAATTTTTTTAATTTATAGACTGAAACACAAGCACTGTTTTTATAAGTAAATATAACCCCTTTCCATTATATCTTTCTATTATTTGTTCTTGCCAAGCAGGTAGTACACTAGTGTTTCATTTGCACAAAATATCTGAAAACAGATAACCATGAACTTTTTTGCTATCAGTCTTCAACCAAATACACCCCATACTTCCTCTTGTTCCACCGTCACCCACGTCTGCCCGAGATAATGAATACCTGTCCAATGGGAGACAACTTTGAGGTTGGTGATGCAGAGGATGAAATCGATAAACAGCTGACTGAAGTACACAATCTTAATACCAAGGTTTGTAAATGTTGAGAAAATACTAGAAATAAGATTTTTTTTACAATCTTGCCTAAAGTGCATTTCTATTTTTGAAGGTTCTTCAAAATATTGAAATGGCACAGGAAAGACAGCAAAGGACTTTTGGAGACCGGAAACGCAAATTTACCCGTGTCGCAACTGTTGAGGCTGGGGATGAATGTCTGATTTCAGGGGCTTCAAAAAGGCCACGTACAGGGGACACATTGACCAGCCAGCACAGAGGACCTTACAAGATTGGAAACATTACAAAAAAGGGAGTGGCCACTGTGCTGAAGGGATCAACAACCATGAAGGTCAATGTGTCCAGACTGAGGCCCTATTATAGGTTAACAAGTAAGTGCTTTTAGATGTTCCACACTTCTGTGTCTTTGTGTTCATATTTTTACTTCATGAGAATAACTGAAAAAATGTTTTCATCATATATACAACAAGATGAGCAACTATCTGAAGGGCAGCTCCTCAACGACCACGAATACTCCTCAAGGGACTGGCAGCAGGAGCATTCCTATTGTTTTTCTGGAGCAAAGTGGGAACGGGATGTGAACCCAGTTCAAGAGGCTCTTGTATGCTTTGACATATTTTGCTCTGAATCTGCGCCTGACTGGCTCTGCTAATTTAATCTCCTCTCCTTTCTCACATTGCTGCCCCAAATGTAATAACTTCTCCTGAAATATTTTAATTTTCTTTCATTTAGCTATGTTACATATTGGACCAGGATTGTTCACCTGCTGAGCTAATTGTGAAGGAGGGAAGTGTGTGCCTTACACGTGAGGATTTCTGGTCCTTGGGGTTAAGTCAGTGCATGGAATCAAATGTAAGTATTCTTAAATGTGTCTCATAAAACCTGTAATATCTAACTGTCTAATCACTGGTTAATTTCAATGT